CCCTTCCTCCCTTCCTCCCTTCCTCCCTTCCTCCCTTCCTCCCTTCCCCTTCTTCACAATTTTGATATTCGATACCTTCTGTGCATTTTCATTCCTACACTGAGTAAATTACACAAAGGAAATCCATTTACTTTCTGAATGTTTAGGAACAATTTTATTTCAGGTGTGGAAAGCAGTTTTACAATGAACTAATACGTACAGTCCGAGGAAGGAAAATATTGCTTTCAGACTTTCATTTAAATTATTACTTTTTTTTTTAGTACTTCTTTAATGCTGTCGGTGTCTGAACTCATTTGACCCCACTGGTTTTCGGTCTGCCATGCTGACATTTCCAGATGGGACACAAGAAATGAAAGGGACGTGCTGAGATAGTCTATCGTTCCCAATCCATAATCCCAATCTGCAAAATACCTCTCTTCAAAGTGTTTATTCATCTCTCTCTCCATGCAGTTTGCTGCTCTACGTGGTTTTCCTGCTCCCCCTGATGTTGCAAGTGTCACTGACAACTGTCTGGGAGAGCATGAGTGCCTGGGAGCTGTGCTCATCACGGTACTTCCTGCCCCTGCGGACCAGGGCTCACGCTGACACCACCAACCTGCTGGTGCTCAACAGCACGGGTGAGCTGGGCTCCTCATGATTTAATGGGCTGTAAATGAAGCCTGATGATGCTTCAGTAGATGACATCCTAATGCAGTGACATGGAAAGAGACCAGCAGGTGGATGAGAGGGGATCCCGTTCTTCCCCTGCCTCAAGACCTGACCTCCACCCAAATGGTTTCTGCTCTTTCAGAATTAATCCTGCTCATTTTAACAGTCTCCTCCCAGAAATCTACCTTCGACATTCCTTTCAGCGGATGCTATTTCATGTTATTTTGCCAGAGAATGATACTGTTGGCTTTGTCAGACCATCATCAGGAGAAGACATTTGCAACTCAGTGAAGGAATAAAAGGGGGGAAAAAAAAGCAATGTTTCAGTCACTGAAGCCGTCATCCATTAATATTACTAAAATTACTGTGCAGTGATCCAATCCATACGTGCTGTCTGGCTTTCACAGTCATTAGACTTTCTCTGGTTATGTTTAGTGGTCGTGGATTCAAAAAAATAAACAGTCTAAGACTCTTTTGTTTCTCACTATTACGATTTCTCTGCTTTTGGCTTTCGCATCAGGCTCAGGCATTGAGGACTTCATCCACGCCCTTGAGAGCCAAGATCTCGCCGTGGAAATTACAAACAAGGAAAATATCACAGAGGAGCTGAAATACAATGGGGCCATTAAAGTATCTCGTGAAGGCCAGGTGAGGACTTTTGCTCCCATCCTAACCTTTCTTCCTAACAGTGCACTAATTAAACAAGATCCATCTGGCTATACTGAACCTTTATTGCATCAAGCCCACAGGGATAAAGATTAGCGAGTGTTTTAACCAGTAACCTACGTGCTAGAGGAGGCCTTGTGATTCTGTTCCTCCACTTGGATGACCTTTGAGGTCCCTCCCAGCTCAAGCCATTTGACGATTCCATGTGTGTAGCACAATTATACAGATTTTCTACATGCTGTTTGCACAAAAGGCATAAGTGACAGCTATTATTTTAGTCCTGAATTCTCCTGGCCAAGAATTTTCATCCCGGTTTCTTGCTCTCTGAAGAGCTACAGGTTTACCATCTTCTGCCACATGGAGGCCATCAACTGCTTCCCAGTGCTTGTGAACATCATCAGCAATGCTCTGCTGAGAGCTTTCAATTCCACTGCACACATCCGGATCTGGAGCCACCCTTTTTATTCTGTAAGTGTCACAGACTGAGAGACAGTTCAAGTTCCTTTTTACTGCAAGAAATGCTATGAAATGAACTGTAGCATCTCGCCACTGGACTGTAGATGTTTTCTACAAATGTTTTGTTCTTCTGTTTTCAGACAGATAATCCACAATACTGGGATTCCTTTGTCTCTTTCTACCTTATCTACATGCTGCTGCTGTTCCCAGGTTTCCCTCCTCACTTTGCAATGGGCTCTCTGCAGGACTACAAGGTAAATTCATTGAGATGCAGCAAATCCTGTATGAGCAGAAGAGTCATAACTGTATTGCCACGGGGCCGTCTGAGCATGGCATCTTGAGGCTTTCCTCTGTATGGCCAGCTTTGCAGCCAGCATATACTGCTAAAAGACAAAAAACATTGGATTTTAGTGCCAGTATTACAAATACTGCAATACTGGAATAGATTTTTATGAGCTTTATTAGCTTTTCACTCCCCAGAACTGTTCCTATGGCCAACACATTCCTTCCCAGACAGGAGCTCGTGCCCAGCTGCAGGTCTCGGGGCTCTTCCCCTCGGCATACTGGTGTGGGCAGGCACTGGTGGATGTCCCATTCTGCTGGCTCCTTCTCTTCTCCATGTTTGGGTTACAGTTTGCAATTAGCAACAGAGTGTCTGGGACCTTCAGCAGCTTCTTCTTGCTGGTGAGTCCTGTTCTAGTGACCACTGGTTTGCTAAGGGGGGATTTGGGTAATACTTCCAGCAAGGGGAGGGCTAGCTGAGACAGCAGCAATGTTTAGAGAGGCAGCATTTTGGAGAATATCCCCACAGAATCATGCAGGAGCACAGCAGGACTTTAGCAGTTCACTGTAGCAGACAGGAAGAAAATATGTAGGTACAGCCAATGCTGGCATATCTCCTGGTCCCCAGATCCTTACTGCCTTTCTCCTCATTTCACCTCTTATAATGTGAGTTTTCCCAGCTGGAAAAGAAAGGCAATAAATCCTGCCTTAATACACTGCTGTACACTAAGCAGTCAAATTGTGGTAATTTCTGAATGTCCTGATCTTAATGAATGCCTACATAAACTGAACCACAGTGTTGTATATAGGTTTCTGGTTGTTAATGTGACTCCATTTTCTCTAATAAAAGCACTTTTCTCTGCAGATCATGAATGTTTTTGGCTATGGAGTTTCTATCATTTTCTTAATCTATTTTATCTCCTTCTTCTTTCGGAAAGGATGGAACTGTGATTTTTGGTCTTTTATCCTAATAGTGGTAAGCATATGGCTCAATAATGCAATATGGGGTTTACAGAAATGTATTTTGAGTTCCTAAAGACAACCTAGAGGTCAAAACACCAATTATAGATCCAGGACATGGATAAGGGCATGTGTTTTATAACAAAAAATTCAATAGAAATCACTGTCACCTTGTTCTGCTCTCTGCCAGTCCCCCTGCTTTCCCCCAGCCTTTTACTCCCACAGTTCTGGAAATAAGGATGCTTTTCACAGTTTGGGTCAATCCTTACAAGCACTGCCTTTCTTTCTCTCTTCCCCCAAAGTCTTGCTCAAGTTAAAGTTTCAAAACACAAAACAATGGGGAATTTGTGCTTCATTCCCTTACTCTGTGTAGATCAGATGGGATAGTGTGAAGTGGGATGGGAACAGAACGGGATCCCATACTGCTTCTTTCTGACCAAAGCAGCACTGTGCCTGGGAAGGAGATTCCCCAGATGACCCAAACTAGCAGCAGAGATAGATGATGACCTCCTGTACCCTCATCCTTTCTTGTCTTCATGTTTCTTGTCCATCTCGAATAGCTGAATAACCCTCCTGTTTCATTTGTAGGTATGCCTTGTTACTTTCATTATCAGCAGAGTCATGGATTACGCACTAGAACTCGAAATCTCACTCTACCTCCTGTCTCTGCTGATCCCCATGTACCCGCCCTTGGGCCTCATGCTCAACATTGAGCAGGTAAATGGCTGCACTGGCATCTGTTGGGTAATCATTTCAGACCAGGTGGAATTTCTCCATCTGTCCATTACTGCTGTGGGCTGCTTCTCGTTCACGTGGACTGTGACTTGTGGGTTAGGCAAGCAATCTTAGTTCTTCCCATGCAAAGTCAAGCACCTTGGCTTGAACAATCACATAAGATTGCACAAATGACTTTGCATGAAAACTGAGTGAGAGTCATGGATACTCCCAAAGCGTTCTACTGCACATCAGCTGGGAGTGGCCATGGAAAGAGAGCAGGGAATGTAGAAAAACCCTCCAGCTACATGCAAAGCCATTTATGTGCCAGAAGGGAATTAGGAGAAAAGTTCAACCAAAAAAGGACCCCTCCTCTGCATCGTCCCCCTCTCTCCATCCTCCTCTCTATTGGGCCAGCAAAGGAGAGAGATGTTTCCTTCTGACAAACCACCATCCCTCCAAAAAAGAGCCTGATGCATCTACTGAGTGGGACAGCATTTTTTGGAGTAGGACTGGAATACCCAAAGTGAAGAGGGTATGGTGAATGTTTTGGATAAATTAGAAGCTTTTGTGCATACTCGATGTATTCGTTATTTGCATTTACACTTTTAACACTATCCACCATTATATAAAAGAATTGCAGGTCTTCATCATGTATTTTTTTACTCCTACAGATGTTTATAGAAGACTCCGACTTAACTGAAGGCTTCCTAAAAAACAACGTACTCATAGCTGTCTTTGCAGTAAGAAAACATTTAAGAATAATTTTATTTAGGAACGTGTGTCTTCCAAGCTGTATCCTCAGTAAGCCAGTTCATCTTACATAGAAGGAGGATCCTGGGGACGTGGATGACAGATTACCCATCTGTGAAAAAATAGTTTTGTTCCTTTGAAATGGGGAAGGAAATCAGTCTAGGTGGCTTGATGCTTCTGTCATTGGTGTTTTCTGCAGTACTGGTGAATGATAGCAGAGTTCACAGCTTTCAGGATTATCCTGTGTTTAAATGGCAACTAATTTGATTTCGCATGCTGTGTTTTCCCCCTCACGTAATTTGTGACTCTGCCACCATCTTTTCAGCTTCAGCCACGGCAGAATGGAAGGCAAGTCTGTCAGTGTGGCAACCTTTTTTTTTTTTCCAGCCTTACATCCATTCTGTGGTTTTCATTTTCCTCCTTCGTTATTTGGAGATAAAATACGGAAGGCCAGTTCTGAGAAAGGACCCAATATTTAGGTTTGTATAAACACACCACAGGCACTTCCAGCATACTGCTTTTCTTGGAAGACAACATCTTGCCCAAAGGCTAAGATTAATCTGTTGGATTTGTAGAATTTTCCCAAGAAAAGAGAACAGCCATCAGCATCCCGAGGAGCCCGAAGAGGAAGATGAGGATGTTAAAGCTGAAAGAGAAGCGGTGAAAAATGCCATAGCAGCTCCAAGCCAGGAGGAGGTAAGGCTGAGTGTGGTTGTTCTTCCTTTGCTTTATATCAGTGATAAGATTGTTGGTTTAGAAAAAAGTCACCAATAGTAATAAGGGCAAGTAAATGCTCTGGCTGCACTATTCATTCCTCAATGGAAAAACCCAGCTCTCAAGTGGACAGAGTGGGTCCTACCAGGATAAAGAAACCTTTTAAGTGGAAAACAATGTTCCGTGGCATCTCAAATTCTCAGATCTTCTAAAGTTTTTTCCTTTTAAAATGCAAAAATATTACAGAAGGATGAATGCTATTCAGTATAACGACTGATCTTTCTTCCTCCTCCTTGCTTGCAGAAATCAGTTATTATTGTCAGTAATCTCTACAAGGAATATAAAATTAAGAAAGCTGGTTCCGTTTTTAGGAAGAAGAAGAAAATGGCCACCAGAAATATTTCCTTCTGTGTTAAAAAAGGTGAGAACTGGAACTGTTTTACTCTGACCATACCCAGAGAGCTAATCCTCTGCAGGTCTGTTATCTGAGCTGTGACACCAAGGTGGAATCCATTTGCTCCACGCTTAAGTTACAACCAGTGTATGGCTGGTGAGATACTGAACACCACAGACATCCAATCAATTACCTTTGATTCTCCACTACCAAAAATGCTTTACCTCCTCTACAGCAGTCACTTCAGCAGCAGCTTCTGGAAGCGATGCTCAGACTTACATCACTGCATCAGCTACAGATTTGAAAAGTAATTTATGGCCTCTCTGATCACATATTCATGCATCTGTACAATTGTATGTGATCTTTGATATTAGCATACTCTCTTTCAAGTTTTTTTTTATGAGACTGCCTGGTATCTCAGCTGAATGGCAGGCCTTACCAAGAAATGCTGTGTACTGATTTCAGGAGAAGTGTTAGGACTCCTGGGGCCCAACGGAGCTGGTAAGAGCACAGTCATCAAGATGATAGCTGGGGAGACAACCCTGACAGCTGGGCAGGTAGGAGGCTGCTGGAGTCTGGAGGGAAGGGATAGAAGTGTGCTAAAAATGCAGAGCTTGTGGCCAGCTAAGCAGTGTTTTTTCTTCAAAGCAATATTAGGGATCAGGGTTTTAACCAGATACATTGTTCTATTGAATTATGCATTGATAAAAACGATGGTGAGCTGCTGCTAACTCTAACAACCATGTGCATCTATGCTAACTCAGCATGATTATATTCAGGAGCCACGTATCTGAGGGTTGCAAAACCAATCCCTCACCCCTCAAGTTTCCTCCCCTAAGGCCCTGTGAAGCCCATAGTTTCCCTCCAAACCTTCCACCCGTGGTTGTGCACATGTGAAACACAGCGTGATCACACAGGTGCTGCTGAGGAGCCGAGATGCCACGCTGTGCTGGACACAGGACCACGTGCTTGCCTACCTGGGGCACTGCCCACAGGAGGACCCACTATGGCCAGACCTCACCGTGCACGAGCACCTGAAGGTCTACGCTGCTGTGAAGGGTGTGCACAAGGAGGACATTGCCACTGCCATCAACAGGTGCGGGGTGAGGGTGGTCCTGGGGTCAGTCAAGGGTTTATTCCACATCGTAAGGTGTAGCGAGGAAATCCGAATGTCAGAACCCTCTGTGAGCAAGAAGATGCCTTGGAATAAACTCAGGAAGCAAATCTGTAAAAGGGATTTTGTATTAAATGCTGTGATTGAGTGAGTGGGTTAAGGAAAGCTCCAGCTTGCCTAAGTGCATTTGGTGGGGATGGATTTACCACCGACATCCCTTAAAGTACATTACCTATAGGAAGCATTTTGATTTTATTGTTTGGCATTACAAGGAGGGTGCTTACTTAGTGCCTACTCAGCAGGCACAGGAGGTGGAGTGGATCTATAATGCTGTTGACACAAGTGACAGCTTTTCAAACAGAGTTTGAGGTCTGCTCAGTGCACTTCAGTTAAGTAGTGATGTGTTGGCATGGGCTGCCCAGCTTGTGGGGGGAATCAGCATTCCTGAAGGTCTTCAGAACTGTGGAAATGTGGCACTTGGGGATATGGTCAGGGGGCATAGGGTGGGTTGGGGTTGGACCTGGGGATGTTAGAGGTCTTTTCCAGTCTGAAGGGCTCTGTAAGCATTTGCTCACATTTTTATAGCACAACTTACTGAAATCAAACAGGAGCCGAGAGTCAGGGATAAGAAAGTTCCTTTTTCTTATTCTTTTGGGAACTTCTGATTAGAGTACTGTGTCAGAGAATGACAACTTCTTTTTTTCCCTTTCTTTCTCCTTCTCACAGAATAGTGAATGCTTTGGAGCTTCAAGACTATTTAAAAAAGCCAACCAGAAAACTTCCTGCTGGGATAACCAGAAAGGTGCTTTTTTTTTTTTCCCTTTTCTTCTTTTTCCTATAATGAGCACTGTAATGTTCATAGCATGAATGAAAAATGTCCTCTGGAGCAGTGGGACGTACCTGTGCTCCCAACCACTTGGGAGACGATCACATTGCACCTTCCAAGTCTGTCTCCTATCAATCAGAAATTTGATGTTCATAAAGAATGCAGCGCTGCCTGCAGCTCCTTGAAGACACAGTGCTGGGGCTGTAGAAGGTCTGACCCCAACCCCTCTCCCTGCCATAGCTGTGCTTCGCTGTCTGCATGCTGGGCAACCCTTCAGTCCTGCTGCTGGATGAGCCATCGACTGGCATGGACCCCAATGGACAGCGCTGCATTTGGTGAGCAGAATCCCAGGCTGCTGCTTGGTGGGGGGCCGGAAGCCAGGAGTGGATGTGTAGGGTTGGTTAAAGAGCATTCTATCCCACCTGCAGTTAATACTGCTCACAACTGTTTTCAACAAAACCTGTTTTCTTGGTTTTCCTTATCCAAAGCATTAAGAAGTTCTCCTTGTTGCAAACGTTAGGATAGTTGCATTGGAGTTTAAAAGAACCCAAAATTGGACTTGTGTCAAAAGTAGTTTTAGGGGTTAGAGGGGCAAAGCTTCGATAACAAGTGTCTGGTATTTCTATGGTAGCGTTGGCTCCTTTTTTAACTTCTGTGCCCTCAGGAAAATGATTCGTGCTGCCCTGAAAACCCAGGAGACAGGTGCCGTGCTGACCACACACTACATGGAGGAGGCAGAGGCGGTGTGCGACCGCGTGGCCATCCTGGTGGCTGGGCAGCTAAGGTGGGTATTAACAAGGCTAGGATAGGGTTTATCCCCCAGCCTCACCCTGAGCTTTGTGAAGTGAGCCCCGTGACAGTAGGATTTGGGAAGGAGCATCAGTGGGTTCACACTGACGTTATTCTTCTTGACTCACCTGCAGGTGCATCGGCTCCATTCAGTACCTGAAGAACAAGTTTGGCAAAGGCTACGTGCTGGAAATCAAAGTCAAAGACCCAGAGACCACTGATCTTCTCCATGCTGAGATTTTGAGGATTTTCCCAAGTGCTGCCCGTCAGGAGAGGTAAATACAAAATAGGGAATGAACAGTGGCTTCAGTATTACATCATCTCTAAAAGCCTGCCCAGTGGGATGGCCAAATACAGGATCTCTGCTACTGAGAGATCTGCATGTCATAGTCCCAATGAGGGGATCTAATTCAATAATGTTACCAAGTCCAGCCCTGCTGCTATCCCCACAGTAAAACATCCACAGGTCCAGCTCGTACTGTAACAAACTTCTGAATGCAAAAGTTCAATCTAGAGTAAAAGCCCCCTTTTCTTCTTTATCTTCCAGGTTCCCCTCTTTGCTCGTCTACAAGGTCCCAATGGAAGATGCACTGCCCCTATCTCAATCTTTCTCCAAGCTAGAGGAAGGTAAGAGCAAAGCAAGATGACTATTTGGAAAGGTGAAACACCAACAGGTAGTTTTCAACTCAATTTCCATTCCTCCACAGCCAAACAAAACTTCAACCTTGAGGAGTACAGCTTCTCTTTGAATACTTTGGCTCAGGTATGTGACCTCAAGGTGTGAACAAAACTACAGTGAGGTCTGGGCCAGAACTGAAGCAAGAGGCAAGAAACTGCCCTGGGGGGCTGGTAAGGGATTCTCTGCCAGAAAAATGTTGGAGTTTGATTTGTTTTGGTTTAGTTTTGCCACTGTTGGGAAGTGGGATGGTCAGGACAACCCAGGCAGTGTGTTGTCACCCAAGACAGGCACATTGCACATGGGGACAAATGGATGTCCCTGATGATGCCCAGGCCCAGACACTGTGGTCATTACTCAGTGTGTGCCAATCCCTCCATCAGTACAAACCATCCCATGGATATACCTATGAGCAGAATTTTCAGCTACTGAGCCTGTGTTCCCCACATTGTCCCCACATACTTCATGTACCTGTGAGAGGTGTTGCAGAGCTGCACCTCCTGCAAAGTTGCATCACAGAATGTAGGGAGGGTCCAAAAAAATAATCAGAACTTCACATTTTCCATTTAGGTCTTTTTGGAACTCTCCAGAGAGCAGGAGAAGGATAATTTTGATCTCACTTTGGATGGCCCTTTTGAATGGAAACAACTTCAGCAGGAGGACAGTTAAAGGTCTATGATGCTCATTTACACATTACTCTGTATTAGCCTAAGTGATGTGATAACTGCACGTATCCACTACCATTATCAGTGTACCAGGAGGAGGATCAGGCTCTGCCTCTCTGGGAGCATCAGCCAAGGGCTGCACTCTGATGCAGAAGGCATTTTACCAGGACTCCATGGGTGCCTACACTGAGTTTTGTCCCAAGAGAGTCTCCAACAACTGCTTGTTGAATCTGTACCTGCACCAGTGGGAGCTACCATCAAGCAGAGCAGTTTGGAGCAGAGGGACCAGGAAGGATTGCAGAGAGGTGGGTCCTACCCCATCTCTGAGGACAAGGTTTTGCTTTGCTTGGTGGATCTGGGTGCATCAGCAAGTCCAGGCATACTGCCCATCTCCTCAGTTCATCTCCCACACACATGGAACTAAGAGATGCCTTTAAACACATCTTATTAAAGTTTACCCTCTATTTTTATATCTTTGCAATAAATGTCTGTGTAGAACACATGCTTATGCCCTCATGTTATATACCTGTGCTCATTTACAACAGCAAAAACCCTTTAGGAAAACCATGAAGCCTTCTTCTATAACATACACTGGTGGCTGTGTTGCAGTCTCTGCCTGTAGACATCATGCACTCAGCTCCAAAACATGCCCTGGCAACCACAGAACACTTATTCAGAGATCATTTCCCTTCTGCTTGCACAATGGTTTTACTCCCACCCCTGGGAAATAGGATATGAGAAGCCCCAGACACTTCAGTCCTGCTTGTGCACTCAGCTCCAGAGCAAGTAAACTTGGGGAAAGAGAAGAGCCCCATTCAGTGTCCTGAGGATATCTTCAGCAGTCTGGAATTCAGGGCTGTGCAAGCCATGGTCACCTTGATACCACAGCCACTTATGCAATACATTAGGGATTAGCAGGTTAGTGGTTGGACTGGATGATCTTAGATCTGTTTTCCAACCTTGGTGATTCTATACATTGCTGTTCCCCTCTGTATTCCTGCCCCTACATGCAGACCTTCACTTCTTTAACAAGAAAAAGACCCCCAGAGTGCCCCGAGTCTGTCTCCAGCTCCTGCCTGGCAAAGAAGGATGGAGACAGTGCCATCACCAGCACGAGACTGAGATTCCCAGCACCTGGACCACAGCCAGCGCTGGGAGGAGTTCTGTGCCCTGCACAAAACAGAGATTAGCTAGCAGCAGGGAATGGACAAAAGCGCTCAAAAAGTTCATGAGCACTTCGCTTTGCTGTTTAAGGGGAGGAAATGCAGATTCGCATTTATTTTTAGGCTTAATAATGTCTTCTTTATACTTTTTCCAATTTTCCCTGCTGGCAGCTGCGTGGCCAGCATACCCCCATTGCACAAAGGGCCATTCACCACCAGTCCCAAAGCACTGTGCCCCAAACAGGCGTCACGGAGCAGCAGCAAGGAGCAATATGCATCTTTCAGTTTAAGGGAGAATCATAGAATCACTGAGACTGGAAAAGATCTCTAAGATCCCCAAGCTCAAGCCCAACCCACCCCACCATGCCCACTGATCACTCAGTGCCACATCTCCAGCACTGATGACTCCCCCACCTCCTGGGCAGCTGTGCTAACAAAAAAGGCCACTTTTTCAGAGGAGAAATAGTTCCTAATGGTCAACCTGAACCTCCCCTGGCACAACTTCAGGCCATTACCTCTCATCCTAGAAAAAAAAAATAATAATAATGAAGAAAAAAAAAAATAAAAAAAATCAGTACTAGTTGATGGTTTCCCAGTGTTGGCTACTGGGGGACTGAGGCACACATGGCTCCAAATCTGGGAGCTCAGGGATGGCGTTTTGCCCTGAAAGGTCTGGGAGGATTGAGAATGTCTGGGTGGGAACTGCTGGGCTTCCAGGTGTCCTCACAGCTGCAGCACAGGCAGTAACAAAATTCTGCTGGGGTCAGATGGAAGTGAAGCAGCTCTGCTTAAATACAAGCGAGCAACAACAAGAACTGATATTTCTGAGAATTTCAAGGAACTTCAAGGAAAGAACTGATGCAAGCTCCAAAATATCTACAGGACAAACTTTGGAGGAGGATAAAACAGAGTGATGCTGAACAGGGAACTGGTGTCCAGCAGGCAGCCGGTGGCTTTGTGCTGGGCAGAGCTCACGGCTCAGCTGACCACCAAATAACCTTCTCCAGAGCATCTCTAGAAGGATGAGAACTAAAAATAGGATAGGGCAGGGTCAGGTAGGGTAGATAATGAAGTAAAACCATGGGAGATAGATCCAGCCCCAAACATAAGGCAATGTGTGGCTGCACCAGAAAGTCAACACGGCTCCCATCCTCACATGCCCCCCATCAGTGCATCATGGTGGGGGCAGCGTTGTCCCCTGCCAGCCCTGCAGCCCATTCAGGGCTTTGTCACAGCTCCGTCCCACACAGCACTGCCCAGGCCAGATGTACTTCAGGCACAACAAGCAAAGCAACGCAGATGTTGGCAACCTCACTGGCGTGGGAGTCCAGTTCTCTTTTTCCATCCCCTGTAGACAAAAGAGGAAACCAGGGCTGGCTTGCAGCCCTACACGTGAGCACAGAGTGTGCACTAGGACCATTGATGATCACAGCTCACGTGAGTACCAGGACATCCCCACAAGCATCTCTGCAAATAGTTCATTTTTAAGGCAGTTGAGCTTGACTTAGTGCACAGGTGAAAGCCAAACAGAACATTTTTCTCTTGCACTGGTGTTCCTTAATTCCACTCAGCATCTCAAACCCTTCGGAGACTCTAGGCTGAAAATACTCTGAAGTCCTTCAGCAGCAGATGGATAAAATATCAGGCAGAGGACTATGTGTGGCTGTGACAGCAGCCAAACCCAAGAAAATATTTACTTCAAAGAAGACAGAAGGATTGCTTGTCCAGCTGGAAAAAGCAGGAAGTGCTCTCTAAATAGAGAGGAGAGAGGGAGATGGTTGTGTAAGGCATGATGTTTTAATTAAATCATACTTGAATGATAGCAGAAGTTCATGAACTTATGTTCTAGGCAAAATGGAAGCAGCCGTTTGTCACTGTTCATCTTTGTCCTGGCACAGACACCAGGAATAGAAGGGCAAAGTAGGAGGTGGGCTGTTGGGCACACATGTGGCAGGTACAGGGCTGAGTCCTGCTGACCCTGCACTATTCTGCATGAAGTCTGGCTATTTGAAAATATCAGCAGTCACCCACCAGCACACAGTGCATCCCTGGACAAGGCTGGGGTCAGGTGAGGGCAGCTGATGGATTTCAGTGGGAAGTGAAGGCTCATCCATCCTTGGGTTTGGGATAAGCTGGAGCAACCCTTTCACTTGATTGGGTTCACCATCTCTGGAGGTGTTCCAGGAATGCATAGATGTGGTACTAAGGGACATGGTTTATCTTGCAATATTGGTGGTAGGGGAACAGTTGGGCTAGACAATCTTAGGTCTTTCCCTACCTTAGTGGTTCTATGAACTCCTGGCCATGAAATCCTTGTGTTTGTCCAAAGAATCATTACTACCACCCAGCACCTCATCCCTCCCAGGAACCTGGATCCAGCTGTAACAATGTGTATGCCCATAAACAAGAAGCCAGGGGCCTCCAATCCCACCAGGAGAGCCTGAGGTCACATCACCATCCAGCTGTGGTCAGGGTGATAATTATGCCTGCTGCCACCTGCCCTGGGATCCCAGCTGCCACCCATCGGCCTGAACACATGGAAATAATAACAGCAACCCAGCAGCCAGATCACCATCAGGGTGGTCAGGATTGAGTCATAAATGACCCTTTTTTTCTATCTTTCTTCAGCTGCTAAAGCCCCTCATACACAGATGGGCTGAGAGGTGAGGTCTGCAATGGGTTCTGGAAACATCCCCTTGTGCTCCCTTTGTATTTATTAAAAGATGGTTTTTAAACTAAAAGAAAGGGCTGTATGGCACAAGGAGGACCCAAGGCAGAGCTCTGTTGAACAGATTCACCTGGTACGGCCCAGGCCATGCCCCACTGCACTGCTGCTGCACCAGCACAATTCCTCCAGCCCCACACTGTGAGAAATTCATTGCATGTTCTAAATGCAAATCCTCTGAAGGGCTTTCAGGATGCTAAGTAGGAATTCAGAAGGCACAACAAAAAGAACGAAGAATAGAGCTTTTGTTTTCGCCACTGTGCTTTTCCCTGAGGGCAGGAGAGAAGCCTCTCAAGAGCACTTTGAAGAGCTGCTCTACCACCTGCAGTCCCTCCATATTTCACATCAGGATCTGTCACTGACAGTCACAAGAGATTGAAAAGGAGGAAATGGGCTCCCATGAGCTCACACACCATCTTCTTCATCACAGCCTGCAGCCCACAGGGATGCTGAGAAAGCTACAAGCATAGCTGGCTTTAAAGAGCATCTGGGGAAAAACTGGTTATGGAAAAGGCACCCATGGGAGCTGCTAAAGGTGGAGGAATCCCGAGCCCCCAGTGCTAGGACACAACAGCCTGCACTGTCCTTGGGATCCTGCACTGAAAGGGCCCTATTGAGGGGACAGAGGTTGGATGTTGGTCTCCTGGGACCTACAATGCTGCTGCTGAGTGAATGTTTTGGTAATGAAAACAGAAAGGGAAAACTGGGAGAGAAAGAACTCTGTTTCTGGGAAATCACCTTTTATTCTGGTTACAAACTGGGCACGAGATAAGTGGTATAGCATGTTGGTTGCCAACAATATCAGTGCCTTTCTAAATCATCCATTCAAGTGAAATATGGATGATAATTTACTCAAAATACAACGTTTGCAGCAGGAGCTCCGTAGCCAATGTTTTGTAGAAAACAACTCTTTGTTCTGGTCTCCAGATGCCTGATCTCCTGATTCTACCCTCTCTGTTCTGCCTTTCCCAGAAAGGGAACGCTGCCAGTGGTTAGAAAAGAACACTGCCTTGTCACTTCCAGCTGCATCACCTCAGATGCAGGTGCTTGAGAAGTGCTCCAAGAGGTGAAATTGGGCCAAACACAGGGAAATGTGGGCTACTTTGGGAACCAGCAGCACCAGACCCACAGGTGGGAGGCTCAGAGGCCACATGCTCAGCCACCAGCCTGCTCCTAGGGGAAAATCCCTGCAGCACATGGTGATGGGATGGGTTGGTAGAAGTTATAACCAGGATGATGGGCAGCAGGTGAGAGCAGCAGTTGGGGGGGGGCGGGCGAGAGAGGAAAATAACCAGGGGTCAGCTGGGACTGTGCTCAGCTGGGAAAGGCCATGGCAACCCATAGCACAGACTGTCCCAACAGCTGCATGCCTTCAAAGCACTTGGAAACACTCATTTTTTCCCCTTCTCTCGATATTAAATGTGGGTTTTGTTGCCTTTTTTTTCTTTTTTCTCTCCTCCACCCCCGTCTACAAAGATCTCGCACAATGAGCTTCCGAGAAAGAAGACGCTAGCCCTTTTTTCTCCTTCCTGGAACTACCCCAATGACTCACACCGCTCCCGTTTCGGGATGCCGCATCGCCCCGTACCCCGCAGCATCTCCGGGTGCGCTGTGCCACCTCCCGGCGGCACCGAGAGCTGCACGGGACAGCCCCGCATCCATCCCCCCCCCACACTGCCAGAACCGAACAGCAATGCAGATTGAAAGCACTTTGTTAGCCGAGAAACGAGGAGCAAAACAGAGCCGGACCCACGTGTTTGAGAACAGGTGCCTCATGCTTCGCTTTCAAACCCTATCTTGTTTTAATTGCAATTAAAAATGAAAGTTAGTAGTAGAGGGCACTGCTGCCCTGCTCTCCAAGAAAATCTTAGGTAAAATCTGCAAGCTCTGCAAGGATCAGGGAAAATAAAGCCTGAAGGCAAATATTTGGAGATCTCTAGGAGCAGTTGTCACACTGGACATCAGAAGGTACAGCCAGGAGGGGCACAGAGAGGGCCATCCAACAGCCTGTTTCCCCTGCTGCTCTGGGGTCACAGAGGAGCATGGAGACACATAACACAATGGAAAGCACAGCAATGACAGCAGAGTAGCCAGAGTAGTAAGGTCCCAGGCTGCACTAAGTGAAGGCTTACTCAAATACAACAGCTGCGAGCACAGAAATAAAGGAAATGATCTGCTTACCTTTAAAAGGCCTCAGGTACTCAAGGACCTCCAGATGAGATGCCCTCACCTCCAATGCCAACCCTTAAATGAGGGCTGGGAAGGGGTGGATCCTGGCTGCTGCCCTTCTGGTCACTCAGGTTCATTGCATGCACCTGAGCTCCCCTGGGTTGGCCCTGTCTTCCCACCAGGTGCTCCATCACCGCTTCAGGCCATGACCTAACGTTTCTGCTACAAGATGGAGAAAGAAAAATGAAAAATAAAGAACTTCCATTTGGGTCCTGTGCACCCCATTTGTGCACAGGGAGTCAGAGCAGAGGGTTCCTCCTGCAGTCCAAGCAAACCACATGAGACAATGGGAATGTTTCACTCGTGGTATTTAAGCTCTCCTTGTTGACACAGAACAAACTCAGTGGGCCCCTCTTCACCTGCAAAGGAACGATGGCTGAAAGCCATACCCCACAGAGCAGCTCTTGGTGCTGAGCCCCACAGCTGGTCCCTTTGGGGCAGGAGGTGCCCCGTGCTGCCCTGTGCTCTTAGGAGATCCCCCAGCTGCTGCCTCATTCAGAGGCCATTTTAATCCCTGGGTGAAAGATGAAACGCATTGTTGGTGCACTATTCCACTACAAACAGTGTCTGTTGCTATGGACAAGGAACACACGTGGGGCCTCTCAGAGGTACCAGAAGTGCCTTTATCCACTGCTCCTTCCAACAGTGGCTGCAACAGTTGTACTTTGCAACCAGTCCTTCTGCAGGCAACGAGCAGGGAGTTCTCAGCAATTACTCTAAATCACAGGAGTGTCAAAATAAGGATGAATGCAGAGCTCACCACAAAAACATGGATAAATGCAACTCACCCACATGCTTATTTTCTCTCCAGAGCCAGCATCGCTAAGGGTCTCTTTTTCTGCAGTGCTGGAAAATGGGCACTCTGATGTTGTGCTCTTTCCATCCCTGCCCCTAATTCTGCTGGAAGATGGGTTTAAATGGAAACTGATAGTAATTATGCTGAAATCTCTCTTTCACAACCCCACAAGAGGAACCATTTGCTAACACCATTTGGAAGAACCCAGCTAGCAAGGGATCTCCGTGCATTCAGACCAAAGCCAAACCCTGTCTTTTCCTCCTTCAGAAGACATCTTAATGCCCTGTAAGGAAAAATCTCTTACAGTGGGGTTTGCAGCACCTTCTGGGCGCTGGGATCTGTGGCAGCCACTTGTTGTGACATCAGCTGCTCGCTGCCCAAACCCATTGGAAAAAACACAGCTCCGGGTCTGATGCCATGGCCTCCGTTGCCAGCCCAGTGCTGGGAGCCACAGGAAGAGAATGGCCCAATTCTGAGGGCTCATCCTGCAGTAAACAGGGAGGGTGAGGCTGCAGCAGGGTTTTCTGCCTGGGAAATGAGTCCTTACTGCCTTTAAACTCTCCACCTTTGCAGGTTCCAGGGTTTGTGGCTTGGCTCCTCTCGCTTGGTCCCAGCACAGTGGTTGCTGTCATAGCTCAGGGTCAGGGATGGAAAAACACCTCCCAGGGGCTGGCAGAATGCCGGCTGCTGCTCGGTTGTACTTGGAAACACCTGGAAAATTCAGCCAGTAAAACCAGTGCAACCCAGCACAGGGTGTGGAGCATCCAGCAGAACCCAGCCCTGCTCTGCTCTCAATGCTCCAAGACCTCCCTGCAGACGTTTGGCAGCAGATTGCTGCCCTGCTCATCCAACAAGGGTGGGGACAGGGCAGTCTGCAATACACGACTGCAGTTTCCATTTCTGCCTCCGAGAGGTGCAGCAGAAAGGGCACTGTTCCATTAGGATGGCACCTCTTCAATCACAGGCCACGAAGTTAGCAGGCTTGTTTTGTGCACTGCAGAGCAACCCGTGCTCCAGGTTCCAACTTTTTTTCTCATATAACACATTCATCTTTGTTAAACCCTCAGTGCTGAATACGTCAGCATCTCAGCTGCACGTCAGTGTTTCTGTTTGTCTTCTTCATTATTGCTCATGTTGGGGGCATCAGTGGGAAAAGACTTCCATGATGCCCAAGCCCAACCCCAGCCCACCTCACTGTACCCACTGCCACTTCCCCATGGTTCTGGGCCACCTCCAGGGATGGTGACCCCCATGCTCCCAGGGCAGCTGTGCCACTGCATCACCACTCAACTCAGAGAAAAAAATTGTTCCTAATATCCAACCTGAACCTCCAATGCCTTTCCTCTTTCTCCTCTTGAGCGTGCAATATCACAGTTACAACTTACAGATGCTGCCACTAACAACAGCCATGTTAAGCCACTAACATAGCCACTGAAACAGCCATTCACAGACACTGAAAAGCTTTTGAACATTTTATGAGAGCAGCTTTAAAAACAGGACGTGCAAACCCTTGCTCTTGGGATACGTTCCTCCCGGTGTTCAGATGTTCCACTTTGGTGTCCTTGTCAGGGCAATCAAAGCCCTACAAAACCTTATTTTTTTTTTATTTATTTATTTTTTTTTTTTGAAACCAAAGCACAAACTTTAAGTCGAGCCCAGGAAAAATAAAGGAAATTGCTGTGCTGAAAGGGGAAAAAATGTGCACTTGATGGGTAACTTCAGCACAAACAACAGAAGGGCACTGGGTCTGTGGTTGGGAATGGCTGCCCTTGGCTGGCATGAGGAGGAATCAGCAGTTTGGGGGCAAGTAGGGGGAAAAAAAAGCACAGAAAGAATGTGGTGTCTGGTGCTGTTTGGCACACACTGCTCACCAATGTTTCTGCTACCCGACAGCCCAGGAAGGCAGTGCTTAAAGCATACGGTGAAACATAGAGATAGAAAGCTGAGTGTTGCCCACAGAATGGAACAAAATCAGTTCAGCTCAGCCTCCCCTCTCTTATTGCTTGGGCAATAAAATCATTCACTATGCAAATATCTGATTGGGGGTGCATAGGGAGGCACAAGTCGTTGAGCTGATTATACAGCTCTGCCCAGTGCTGGGCCCTTCTGTCCATAACCACAATTTATACAAACCAGAGCACCAAGCACTTCTCCAAACAAATAAAACAATTAAAAAAAACAAAAAATGCAGAAGTTCACCCAGGGATGTGCCACGATGAGGGAAAAGCATGAGCCTGAATGCTAACGGGGGGAAAGCATCTCCCCAGGTGATGAGCAGAGAGAGTGGGAATGCAGTGGGCGCTGAGGAGAGGGCTGGGAGCCAAGTTCATCTGCATTAATCTTACACTCATTAAAATCAGTTGTTCCCTTCTTAATTCAGCCAGGGCCGCCGAGCTTAAGAATTAAAAATTCATGAACCCACGTCCCTAAAGATGAATTAAAAAATAATAAATTCTCCAAAGCAGCACAGATTTTCCAAAGTCTCCTAAAAAAAATGTCCCGGTGCTCCTTTGTGCTCGGAGCTTTCAGCTCGTGCTTCCTTGAGGGATGGGGACACGAACCAACCCGGATTCTCACACACTGGTGTTACTCTGGAGCCTGGAGGCAGTCCCACAGATTCCATCCTTGAAGGCAGCCACACAAATTCCATCGCTTACGATGAGAACAGAGGGAGCAAGCAGTGCAGGAGGAGCACTCAGATCCCCTCGTTCCACCACAAAGTCCTTGAGAAGATGGACCTTCCTGCCCCCATGGGGCACAGCAGCTCTGCGCAAGCAAGCAGTAAAAGTAAATAATTGCTTCTTAATTCCATGCGCGTGAGCAACAAGCTAGACGTGGTTGTTAATGTGCTCTTAATTAAGGTCACCGCTGACAATAGCTGGAGAGCTGGAAACAAAGACAATAAACACCACTGATGTGAAGCAGATGGGAACTCGGAAAGGGTTTCCCAATATTTGGTGAACAATCTGGGATTTTTGGTTTCGACTGCACATCGGGGACCTCCAGCCCATGGGAGAACCCAACTGAGCATCGCCTTCACCAGTCCAGAGTGGGAAGATCATGCTGTGCTCCCTCCATCTGAAGGGCATTGCATTCACTGTGTGGAACACCAAAGCAGGACAGTGCAAAGCAGCCCAGGAAACAGCATGAGCTCCTCCAGCTGAGTTGGTTTCCTGAAGGAGAAGCTGCATAAATAAGGACGGGCTGTGAGCGGGTGTCGTTTATTTATAGAAGGCATTCATTTCCTCCGTGATGGGGATAAATACCCATTAGCTTTCAAGGTGATGAATCATCTATTAATTAACCTACTGGGAAAAAAAATAATCATCATAATCATGCAGATATTCATATTTTCAAAGGAAGGCTTTCCAGTTGGGAAAGAAAGGAAGGGAGTCAATCTGATTGACATCATCTGAAATGCTGAGATAAGACCACCAGAGCAGGGCTGGCAGGGCTGGCTGTCCACATCCCCATCTCTGAGGAAGGACATCAGTCAGAAGCTGGCATTGGTTATTTGGCAAAAGGAGAGAATCTCCCATAGCTGAGGAGGTGAGATGTGGTGAATCATGAAGGATCCTAAACCTGGCCTTCAGGATCCACCTCCACTGGACTCCATCCATCACCTCCTCCAATCTCTAACAAGCCTAGGAAATAAATACATAAATGAAACAAGAAGATTGTGCGTGCACTCATCCTGTTCCTGTGCTCCCCGACCATTTTTAGCTTTGGTTTATCCCCAGCTCTTTCCCCACACACACCCACACTCCAAACTATCCAAAAAGCCTGAAAGATGCCTAAAACCCAACAACAACCCAGGGCTCCATCAGCTTCCAGGAATTCAAACCAGCTTAAGCAACCACAACTTTTTCGTAATGTGTTTGGTGTCTTTTTTTTTTAATGCATGGGTGTTGGGTTTTTTTCAGTCTTTTACAATCCATTTTAAACAACTGCTGGGAGTTTTCTTCCTTCCCACCCTCCCCGGCTACATTCAGCCTGTATCTCTCACCAGCCTCATGCAGCTCACGTTTCAGGGCAGAGCAAATGTGCACGCATGCACAGGGCAGGGATTAGGAGACAACGAGGCACCCAACACAAACCTGATTTCCAAAATTCCCCTTCTGCCTGCAAGCACGAGGAGCTGGGTGCAACCTGCTAAGTTCCCTGCAGGCAGGGAATGATTCCACCCTGCATTACATATTGCACGTGATGAGGCATCTGCCACTCGACGTGAAAGACACCATCAGAGCCCATCACACTGCCGGAAGGGTTTGCATGCTATCACCAATGCTCTTCTAGCTAAGCCACATTCCCCCTCTGCATGCTGCTGCTCATCACTGTACCTCATGTGTCACAGCTGATTAAGACATCCCAGAATAGGCAGCCAGGCTGAACCCTTCACACTCACTGCTCCTGCAGCCTCCTCTGTTGTTCCCATTACTCCAGCTGCAGCTTGATGGGTCTGCAAACAGAAGCCCTAGAGATGCCCCATTTATTACACAGCCAGCACCTCTTTCATAATGTGGCTGTTCTGGCAGCGCATCGAGACATGGCCATTTCCCATACGTGCAGTGCAATTTGAGTATTCCAAGTTAGATTTTGATTTCATGGAACTGGTCATATCCAGAGGAGAAAATGGAACAAGCTGTCCTGAGCTTTGACACATGAGAGCAGCAGTAAATTCATGTAGAACTCACCACTGCAAAATTTATAGGAGAAAAAACCATTCTATATTGAGAAAAGCTGAATTTTAAGGATGTTCCCATAAAACCAGCCATTTCATGACCAATAACCCTGCAGGGTGCAACCAAGCAGGAAGGATGTCACCAAAGAGAGCAAGTCAGCTCTCCTCGAGGCTCACTGGCTGCCAATGGGACTGGGGCTGGTCAAGATTTGGGTTCCAGTGTAAGGAGAGGGGGAAAAGCTGGCAAAACTGCAAAGAGATGAACTCACCGCTTCATCCATGCCTCATCCTCATGAGTTTGAGAAGCAAAGTCAAAAGGAAACCAAGTAAGTCTGGAAAGTTTGTAGAGTGTCGAGGAAAAGCACCATCATCTGCCTCCCCTCTGCTCAGCCTGGGACTCACAGCAGCAGTGCCCACACAGACATGTTTGTTAGAACACACGTTCACCCTGCAGCCACAGGGTTGGATGTAAGAACACACAGCAGGTTCTTGGTCAAACAAAGCCCCTTCCAGCTGTCTGGGAGGACAGCACACTGCCATTGCACTGCTGTGATGGGTTTACAGCTCACTGCAGCACTTCATATATGCAGTTGTTTCCATAACCAGATCCAAGAGAGCCTGTGAACAGGAAGGAATTAGGCACTTATGCAAAGACCATTAAAGTCAAAGGGAATCTTTCCATTGGCTGGAAAGTGTTTGGCTCTGGATGTCAGTGGCTGCTGTGGGGGATTTAGAGCAGGAAGCAGGAGTGGACTTTGCAGGTTTTCTCAGCATTTGTTACAGACTTCAGCACAGAAGCTCTCTGTGCCCATTCCCCTGCATGTAAATTACGAGCTGTGCAGGCAGTGAGCGCTCGCCCTGGATGCAGAGCCCAACAGCCTGCCTGTGCTTGTCCTCCAGCCTCCTTGAGGCAAGCAGAGCAGAACCTGTAGCAAGCAGGAATAGTCCATTCCTATGGGCAACAGGAATTCTGCACGGATCCCAACACGTTGTTCCTGGTGCTTAACACATTTATGACGTGTCAGCCTGAGAGGCAAAAATACCAAAAACCAAAAACTTCAGCAGGTCTGAAAAGCTGGTTAATCCAAAGTTGGAATTCACCTCAGGCTGACCCCACTGCTGGGATCCACACAGCTCTGCACATCCGCTCAGGTACCCAAAGCCACCAGCATGGAAACAAGAGGTCACAGTTATATTTGAGTGAGAGCAAAATGACACCTGCTGGGAGCTCAGCTCTGCAGGTTCCCTTTGCAGGAGCATCCCTCCAGCATCTCCCTCAGCCCAGAGGTACCTGGAAACCGGGGGAGGTTTCTCACCGTCATCAGGATGTGGGTCAGGAGACGAGCTCCGATGCCACCTGTTGCATGTTTACTGCTTTAGTGGGACCAGTTGCCAACCTGGCAGGAACTGGGTCTCGTTGGTGTGGCTGAGGCTCTGGCAAAGCACAGGCTTCTGGGTTCCATTAATACGAAGAGCTGAGAGATGCCATGGCAGCAGTTCAAGGCCGGGCGGTGCGCACCACTGCATTATGAAGTCTAGACAGGGCTGGATCCCAGTAAGCCTGAGGAATGCCTGTCCCTGCCCTCGCACACTGCCTCATACCGAGCAGCATTCCTCAGCCAGGAACGGCGTGAGGAAGTCTTTCATCCCCTTGTTTAACCGGGTCCTCCTGCAAGCACTCCGCCCCAAAGCTCTGCCTGGAAGCCCGGAGCTTGCTGTTGCTGTAGCTTGCACAGAGCTTCACCTGGCCAAGAGCTACACTGAGGAAGGATGTGGGGAGAAAATATTTTAAAAACAGGGCTTTGTTTTATTCCTATCTGGAATGAAAATAGCACCTCAGGAGCGGCACTCTGCACCACAACCGGCTGCAGGCAGCTTCCCAAGAGGTGGTTTGAACACAAAGCAACAAAAAAAAAACCCAAACGACAGCAGTTGTAATTTATTGGAATATTTCTACCGAGGCTCAGATGTTACCTGCGTTTTTCACCAGCTGAGGGGTAATTTGTAGTGAGACAGTATTTCAGCAGCTCTGAAATAAATACAACCCTCGAATGGGGCTGGGGGAACCGAGCAGCACTTCCCAACCCATGGGCACAAGTGGGACGCAGCGCCTGGGCAATGCCTCCCAGCAGTTCTGATGGCACCAGGGGCCACTGAGAGCCATTCAGCAGCAATTCAAAGGGAAAATGGGACCCGATAAGGACCATGCAGAGCAGCTCTGCACATGGAGCACGTACATGCTTTCCTTAAGTGGATTGATAAGTGCTTTGAATTGGTATTAACGCGCACCAGATGCTGGGGAATCATCTCCCACTTAATGGCAATTATGAGGATATCCCAGAAGCCAATAATGCAACTGAGAAGATGAGCATCTGGTGGTGGCTGCCAGGCCCCTGCCCAGCAAGATAAATCTCTGTAATGAAGAGGTGTGATTTCATTTATTTTTTGCTTCAGCCATATGGCATTTAGCTCCAAGTTCATGCAATTCCTCGTCCTTTGGGGGATTCTCCCTGGGAGGAGCAGGGCAGACCAGCCCCTCGTCCTCACCATGCTTCCAGCCAAGTGCAGGCCCCCTAAGCTCAAGATGAGAGAACACAGCTTGTTTTGCAATGAAGGCTGCTTCATATATAAACAAACCAAAAAAATCATACAATCATTAGGGCTGGAAAAGACTTCTAGGATTCCCAAGTCAAATCCCAAACCATCCCCTCCATGCCTTCTGGCCAAGACCTCTCCTGGGCTAACAGCTGTTTCAATTGCTTGGGGTCTTTGACAACACAAAGTTATGACTGCACTAACCATACAAAAAGCAATTTTCATGTCCCCATTAGGCTTCAAAGAATGATTTTTACTTTTACCACAGAATGACCCCACAGTGGTGCTTTGCTACCCCAAGTCCCATGCACAGGAAGGAGAGTGAAGAGCGTGCATGCACCAAGCTGGATAGAAAGCACATCCATCACAGCGCCTCTGAGTGCACATCTGCAAAGTGCTGAGCAACAGGAAATCGTTTGACTTCTATCAGGCCAAATCCAGGGAGCACCAACCCTGCAATTAGCTATAATTAGAAATCCACTCCGGCAGTGCACCCCCAGGCAGGATCCATGCACACCCACATGATCCTGCATGCTAAAACGATGCTGTTAGAGGCACACGCAGCGACGGTGTCTGCAAGGGGGGAGATTTCACCATGAGCAAGAACAGGGTTTGAAGAACTGTAGCTTTTCTGGCTTTAATAAGAAAGTAACTCACTGATTTGAGACCCCACAGTGAGCCAAAGCGAACCACTTCCTCATCCTCCCACTCCCACCAGTGTCAGCCTTCCTCTCCACCACCACCCAAGTACCAGCGATCTCCTCGCCAGCAGCTGGATGTGGCTTTCTGCACTGCCATAGGCCCCTATGGCTGCTGCCAGCTCTCAGAACATCCAGAAGACAATGGGAGAAGCTCATTCAGCTGTCACTTTATTTTCAAGGAGATTTCACACTTGCAGTGCCACAGCAGTTAAGATGCATTTCGCCATCTTCCCACTTAATTGGGCCTGCAGCTCAAGCTAAACATTGTCACACAAGCAGAAAAACCCAGTGCTTATGAGTGCATGATACTCAGGGATCTGGAGAAACCACAGCAATCCCAGCTATAACCCTTGCCCTGTAATCTGCACGCCATGAATCACCACGTAATTCGGCAGTAGCTGCAATCACAGCACACAGTTATTTGCTCTTTATGCTGAAATAAAATGGTGGGGAAGATGGACAGACACTCATAATTTTCAACCTTTTTCTTAACGTTTTCTTGTGGAGGAACAACACAGCAAAGATTCGACTTCTACGCAAGCAGGAGCTGCAATCCCCTCATGCTGGATAGGCTAACTCTGAACCTCCCCAAAGTGAACCAACTCCACTGCCCTTCAGCAAAGCTCAAAGCTGCTGCCCAGACACCGCAGGCCTCCTACGGCTGCAATTCCCACCAAAAGATCCCATCTGCAGAAACCTCCTCACTGCTGCTAACGTGGCTGCTGTGGGCGGGCATCCTCAGCACGCGGCTTCGGCGCAACGACTGCAAAACAGAAAGCAAGAGGCCAACATTTGAATTTTTCCACTGCTACGCTCACACAATTCTGTTGGTCATAATGGATGCTTATTACATTACGGTCGGAATCTTCCCTTTAAATGATGAACGCTTGCACATGCCCCCGCATGCTTATGAGCAGCAGAGATGGGCAAATGGGCGATCTGGTGATCTCATAGCTCCTTCTTTCCCCGCGCCAGTATCTCATTTATTCATAGAACGAAGAGGCATTGGCATTAATAATTAGCTATTTTAAGTTACATGCAAGTCTAGAGAGAGGGAGAAAAATCTTCCCGAGTGTGGCAAATTCCTTCATAGTTGTCTAAAGGTTTTTCTGGTGTGGTTGATGAGTATCACCATTGGAGAGCAATTTTAGTGTGTGTCCTAAAATACTCTGTTCCCATGAGAGGGAAGAGATGGCCTAAGGGAAAGAGGAGCCAAAGGAGAGAGCATGGGGAGGAAATATGGGTACCCCCATCCCTGGAGGTGCTCAAAGCCAGGTTGGATGGGGCTCTGGGCAGCTTGATTTGGTGGCTGGCAACCCTGCCTGAAGGGTTGGGCTTGGAACTGGATGATCATTGAGGTCACCACGCTGTGACTCCATGGTGGGAGCAGCACTACAGATGACAAAGACCCAACGCCTTCTGCTCCCCCCTACCCCACAGGACTAACTACCACATGCAGGAAGAAATACTCCCTGTCCTGTGGTTACAGCCATTTCACAAGTGTTCACCTCCAGATGAATACCAAAGCAAAAAAAATGTGAACCCCAGCAGCACAAACCTCCTGCAGGAGCTGTGCAGTAGCTCCTTGGAAAGATGTGCTATAGATAACACTTAGGCTGAACCCAATGTATGCACTGACTTTCACCACAGGCCCTAAGACTCCAATCCACGTTCTTTCCAAATGACTGTAATTTTTAGTCTATCTCCTGTGATGATGTACCTAGCCAGCCTGAAATTCCCCTGTGGCGCTCTAATGAGTAGTTTAACCTGAGATATAATTTACAAAGATGTAAGTGCGTGCTCAGGAAGATCTATTTCTGTTGCAGGAACTTGTACTAAAAGCGGCATCGCCTTCCTCCATCACTGGTATCACCCTGCTCCCCCAGGGCAACCTCTCTCCTTTCAATAGGAACACACTGCTCTCCACAACACCCCTTGGTACTCACTAAGGGTTAATAAGGAATTCAAGGGCTGAGCTGAGTAACAGCTGAATTTACTGCTGATAAGAGACCTCTTCTTCTGAGCCTTGTTAAAGCCATCCCGGTTATTTTCTCATTTCAATAAATATCTCCTTGCTGGCTCTCTGGCAAACAGTCCCTGTGGTGATGGACCTATGGGGCAGTGCGAGCAGGCAGGGCAAGTCCAAGACCATTATTTAGACACGAGTGTACATGCCTAAAAGGCTGGAGGAATTTTAGAGAGAGACATTTTAACCTATGAGAAGTCCCAGTGCCGTAATTGCATCTGAATTTGACCTGAACCCTTGATTGTACAGCGGTCAGACAGAAGTTCCCAGGCAAACACGCAGCTCAGAGGCTCTTCAGCAGGATGTGTGTTTCTGTTGCTCCTTATTTTACATCCTGGTGGGAAGAAAAAGCACCAAAACATCCCAATGTGACTGCTGACTTCCAGCAACGTCAGAAAACAGGAAGCAAACCAATGAGCAGCTCAGGCCCAAATAGCTGATGCAGTTTTGATGGCAGAGGAGCCCACAGCGATGGATGGGAGTGCACTGCACGGATCCAGGAGGCACATCTGGAGCCTGGTTTGGTGGCTGGTACCCTGCCCATGGCAGGAGGTTGATCTCTGATGTCTCTTCCAACTCAAGCCATTCCATGATTCTGTGTCTGCTATGTCACTGTACGAATGGAGCAGCTGTCCTCTTTGGTGCCCCCCAGCTCCTCCACTTGTCCTGTTTTGCATTTGGTTTACGATGCGTGCTGCACTTCTCCCAAAACAAGCTATTGAACAGATCCTTGTGGTGCAGCGCCCTGCGTGAGCCCTGCATTGTTCTTTGTAGTGCAGAATGCCACGCTCACACAGTGCAAAGCCCACTGCCCTCAGCAGCCCAATGCCAACCCCTGAGCCAAGGTCAGGGTGACCAGAGCCAGGTCAGGAGTGGGGAAAAAACAAACACAAACAAATGGAAACAAAGCTGAGCACAGCTGCAGTGCAGCAAAGACTGCCCGGGACACACAGACCTGCACTCTGTCCTTCATCCCTCCACCAATCCTTTGGCACCTCCAAGCCCATCCCAAGCAAAGGGCACAGGGTCCTTCCCAACCCCCCAACCTCTCCAGGACAAAGCAAGAGGAACAATTCTTACCTGGTTTAACAGCTTCAGTTTGTCTTCCTACTACAAAACAGCCATGACTTTACAGCCTGTCTGCACGTGGTTTTCACTGGGACAAGTTGTGCAATCGTAATAGCGCGCAGCAGCCAAGATTGTATAGTTTCCTCTAAATAATTTAAAGCACTGTTTTTGCAGACAAAGAGGAATCAGCCAGTAACCTCCATGGAGGACACAGTGCAAAAACCACACTTAACTCACAAGACAACTGATTTCCTCCTGATAGATTAATGCTTTTCTTTGGAAAACACATTTGCTTTGGAATGAAGGTTTCCCAGCTGTCACCACAGCCTGCCATGTGCAAAGAGCAGAGGCTGAAAGCTTTATTCTGTGCTCTGCATGAACTGGGATGAGGCTGGGAGTTGGGAGGTTTGTGATTCACCCATCAGTGGGGGAAAAAGCAAAGCCCTTCATTTTCTGCTTTGAAAACAACAGTTGTCCCATCTGCTGATGTGCTTTTAAATCCTTCTGTAAGAAGTCCCAGACCTCAGTGGCTTATGGAGATGGGTAGATGAGCTATTGCTTGGCGTGGGTCACAGCCCACTGCCTTAGGTTCAGCCCCTTACCACTTTGCTCAGTCTCTGCTGTCTGCCTGATAGCATAGGGGAAAAAGTAACCAGAGATCCTCTTTTTGAGAGCCATTACAGTTATAAAAAATCCTCTGCAAACAATCTGCATTTTATCTTCTTAATGGCTCCAAAGCCTCCACTCGTATCCAAAAATAATTGCTTTCAGCGAGGGTTGAAGAATATTCCTCTGAAATCATGGACCAGATGTTCCACTGAGACCATTACACAGTTAACTACCAATAAAAGAAATTCAAGAAACCAAATACTGATTAAAGAATGCGCACGTACAGCCCAGCTCTGTTTGCAGAGCAGGAATGTGATTGGCTCCGTGTGATTTAACCTTTACAGCACAACACGCACTCTTCCCTTCCTCCTCAGCAAGGGTGACATCGGCCAGCGAGCTCAGCCCAGCAGAGACTGTTTTGTTTTTCCTATCTGGGAAGCCAGATCTCGTCAGTTCAGCGCAAGCTGAGCCAGCGTCCAGGCGGCCAAAAGCCCAGGATTGCTTCAGAGGTCAGCACTGCTCTCAGCACAGCCAAGAGAAACAGCCCCGCGTGGTCCCCACTGCAGGGACAGAGCAAAGGAGACTTCAGGCTTCGTTTCCACTTTGCACATCTCTGTACACCTCCTTCGATCTGATATAATCCCGTTTTTGTAGCAAAATCCCTGGAGTGAAGAGCCATCCTCCCTCTTGATGCAAGTGAAGAGGCATTAATTGTCCAAGTGGGGCCTCCAGGGCTTTTCTCTGCATTGTTAGCTAACAAAAACGTGTTCTTCATTTAAACACTTTGCTCCAGCGTTGTGCTGCTCATTACAAGCCCAGGCAGAGCACGAGGCAATGCTCCCCCACCATCTGGCCCTGGGGTCCTCCTGCCACAGCAGGCCCCCAACCAAACACAGGGCCAACCCTTTCCCAGTGATCCTCATCAGCCTTATGGACACAATTTGGGGACTTTACCCCCAGCGTCCCACCAGGGCCGGGGGCAGAATGGAGCTCTGTCACACTGCTGGCATTGCTGCATCCCGATGTGCCCAGACACATTTCCATAGTGAAAAGCCAAATACTTGGCTCCTCTGTTTTGTCTTTCTATGTCCCTTCAAATGCTATGTGGCTGCCTTGGTGTTTAATCCTAGTAATTAACGGGGCAGTGAGAAAAAAGCAGATCCACCTCTTTTTCCCCTATACAGACACAACCAGAGGGGCTGGGCTGGGTCGTTCCTGGAGCAATTCAAGCAGAGAACGAAGAAAGAGAAGCAAACAGAGGCATTACCTGTTGGCAAACAGGAGGCAGCTGTAAGGAAGACCATTTTTAAATCAGAAATGCATGAGAGTACCCAAATTGCATTCATTTCCCAATGTTTGGGGAAAAACAAGAGGGAAATCTTTTGTTTATTAAAAATGACTTTGAAAACAACCTCCTGGTTACCACCCGGAGCACAGAGGAAGTCCTTAGCACGGGATGTCACTGCACGTTTATTTCAAGCTTTAATGATATGTTTGGGGACATCATCTACGCCTGAATATTCCTCCACTGTGACTGTGTGGGGGGAAGGAGTTCAGTCTGAAAATAGTAAATGAGGCCAATTATCTGGCGGCAATTCCAAAGGGTAATTTGGTTCCTCTTGAGCTGACCGTGTCCTTATCCAAGCACCTCTGCAGGTTTGTTTTAGGAACACATCTCCACGGTGCCTGGATGAACCCGCAGCCTCCTGGGAAAGCACAGAGGCATTCAATAGCCAGGAGAACCACGATGTGCTCAGAGCTGGCTTTGGGAAGGACTGCGGCGTTTCAATTTGGTACAGATTGATGGGATGGCTTTATTTATTTATTTGTTTTTAATTAGCCTCATTAGCACCAAAACGATCTTCCCGCAGCGTGTGCAAATAGCACGGAGACGCCAGCCCTGCTGATGGCTTTTCTCCTCGTGCCCGTCGTTCAGAATTGGCATTGCAAACCAGGAAAGATTTAATAGTGGTTTCTGGGAGAGATTAGCAGCGGGCAGCGGCTCAGAGGGGATTACGAACGCAGCAGCACCAGCCGGTTTTGATGGAGTGGTTGTCAAAGTTGTGCTTTAAGTTTAACGTGAGGCGATGAGGGCTTTTGGAGGGCTCACATCCACGGAGCTGTGTTTGCTGGTGACTCATTCTGGCTCGTTGGAGCGCAGATTTTGTTCACTTCAGCTGGATAATCTCGTCTTTAAAAGAGAGAGAAAAAAAGAAAGTAAATAAAAATGAAAAATCCTATTGTTAGCCACAGACCATTGCTTATTGTTGGGATTATTGGGAAAGCATCAAACCGCCGGTCCGGGAAGGGCTGAGGACGGCGGATCCGCTCGCCCAGCAATACAGCACCACTGGGAACGAATCCCCCTGCAACGACTGCTCCAGTTTCAGCCCCCAGATACGTAACATTCGGTATTACAACAGCGAGCCCCTCACACCCAAAACCCAAACTCTTCAAATAACAAAAGACGGAGCAGAGTCATTTTGCAGAAGCAATTCGAAGTGAGAATATGAACCAGCGCCCATCTCCCGACGATCAGGAAACCGAAGGGAACGCAGGGGAGCGGGGTCAGCAGCCGCAGGGGACAGCGCTGCTTTCGGAGCGACCGCGACGGGCGGGGCAGCGCACGGGGAGCCTCCTTCATCCCCGGATCCCCTTCGCCACCGGGACCCCCTTCCTCCCCGATCTCCCCGCGCTCTCCTCCCTCTCCACGCCCCGGTCTCTCCGCGCTGTCCCAGGCCGGCCCCCAGCGCCCTGCCCGCTCCCCGCCCCGAGGTGCCCGCACTCCCGGCTCCGCCGCTCGAGCTCCCCCGCGCGTTCTGCCCCGGGAGGCGGCAGCGGCGGCGGCGGCGGCGGGAGGGAGGGAGGTGCGGGCTGTCCGCACCCGGAGCTGTCGCCACCCGGCAACGGGGGCCATGCCGGGGCCCCGCCGGGACCGGCCGGCCGTGCTGCTGCTGCTCGGGGCGCTGCTGGCCGCCGACCTCTACTTCCACCTCTGGCCGCGGGCTCGGAGGGAGCTGGCCCCGAGCGCACCGAGCTGCCCGTGCCGCCGCCGCTCCGCTCCCTCCGCCGCTCCGCCGCCGCCGCCCCCCGCCCGCGCCGCCTCCTCCTCTTCCTCCTCCGCCTCCTCCTCCCCGCTGCGGCGCCTCTTCGCCCACCCGCTGTACCGCGCCGCCGCCCCGCCGGGCTCCGCCGAGCCGCTGCTGGGCGCCCGCGAAGCTCTGCGCTACTACCGGCGGAAGGCGGCCCGCTGGAACAGGTGCGTCCCGCCGCGCGGTACCCCGACACGGCACCGCTCCCTGGGCGGCCATCCGCGGACACCCCAAACCCAGCGTCCCATCCCCGGGCGCTTCATCCCTTTGCGCCTATGCTCGTGTACCCGCCCCCGGGCACCCATCTCCAGGTATCCATCCCCGTATCCCATCTCCGGGCACTCATCCCCAAATTCCAATCTCTGACCACCCCATATCCGGGCAGCCCAAACCCAGCACCCCATCCACGGGCACCCCGTTCCTAGGTTCCAGTCTCCAGACACCCAAACCCAGCACCTACCCGTAGGTACCCATCTGCATGCACACATGCCTGGTACTCCATCCTTGGGTATCCCATCCCCAGGTGCACATCCCCAACCTCTGGGTTCCAATCTCTGGGTACCCAGAGCACCCTCCCAGCACCCCCTGCATGGACACCCCCCCGATATCCCTTGCCCAGACACCCCGACCTCTGCACACAACCCCTTGGCACCCCTTTTGTGGCCCGCTCTGTGCCCACCTCCTGGCTCTCTGCTGTCCTCCCCGTTGCCCTTTTCTACAGCACCCCGTAGATCACAGGGCTCTGCATGGAGGTTCTGCTGGGAGGGGCTTCCTGTGGTCCCTGATGGGAGAGATGAGGAGGAGAAGGGCGCAGGGATGCAGGGTGAGCCCCTGCTAGTTGTGCATAGTAGGGATAGGTGCCTTCTTCACTCTGCATCAGCACTGTGGGGGCAGAATGGTGTCAGCCCCTGGGTGCTGTACTCCAGAGCCATCTCCTTGCAACCACCAGCAGGAAAAGTTTGCCTGTTTCCAGTGTCCTGCAAGGCACTGTGGAGGAGGGGAGGGACCGTGACCTGAACATGGCTCAGACCCCTCCAACTTCTTCCTCTCCCTGACTTGAGAATGCATGGGGTGAGGCCGAGCTGTATGTTTGTATGACATTGGCTGCATTCAGCAGGGTGGGACAGGGCAGTGATGAGCACACGGCTGGGAAATACGAGGCGAGAGGGCTTGGGATGCTTAGTGGATGCTTCCCAAGGAAAAGCACTGTGGGGAGGTAGGATGTGACCAGGATCAGCTCCATAGTGCACTTCCTTACACACCACCATAGAGCACGCAATGCCAAGTGCACCACTGTGATTTCCAGCCAGGCCCCTGCAACTTCACACCCATCCTCTTCTCTCCTTGGCAGTGCAAATTGAATGTGGGTTAGGAAGGTGCCTGCCATGGTGCTTTTTGCCAGCCCATCAGAGTGATCTGTGCCTCGAGGTCATACAGCCACAGCAGCTCATCTTCTTGGCATGGGGACATCCCTGGGCTGACAGTGGGATCCGTATAGGACCAAGCAGCCATGGCTTTCCCAGCCCATGGGTTTAGCAGAGCATGGTGTAGCTCAGGGCTGCACACACGTTCCCAGCTCTCCCCAAGGTGTGACACATCCTACAGGGTAGAACAGGGTCCGAGCTGACCCTATGGCCATCCCATGTGAGGCATGAACGGCGGGGCTGTCAGTGCAGCACCCATCTGCACGGGTTGAGTGGACCCAGCTGCAGCTCAGCCCTGCACCTACAGCACAGCACAGTTTCTGCAGGCAGGTATAAATATCAGTATCAATATAAAAAATCAGTCTGGGGTTCTCTGGCTGGCTCTCACATGGCCTGGCCCTGGGATGTGGCACGTTTTGGCTATGGGTGGTAAGGAGAACAAGGTACTGTGCATTCTACCTGCACACAGAGCTCTGCCTTCTCATTCCCATTCCTAGCTAAGGGAATCTGACTGCAGGGGTGGCTGATGGGGTTGCAGGAAGAATAATTTAAAAAAAAAAAAGCAAAACCAAACAAACCCAGAGCTTGTTTCTATCCATGAAGAAACAATTCCATACTCCAAACTCTGTGACCTGCTCAGTGCCAGGCACTGGTGCCACAGGGACAGCGGCACCCAGTGCCTGGTGCCTCCTGCAGCCCAGCACTGAGCAGAGCCTGGGCAGCCCCAAGGCTGTTCATAGCAAGTTATCTGGACCTGCTTTTTATATTATTATGTCTTTTGCAGAGGGCTGTTCTTAAAGGGAAATATTTCAGGCACCCTGGAGGGAGCAGCTTTTGGGGGTTGAAGGCTCGCAGGCCAGCTGGCCCCCAGCCCCGTGCCCGCTGCCTCCCCTTGCACAAAGGCTGCATTTTTTTCCCCATCAGTAATGCACTGCTCACTGCCATCCGGGGCCGGGTGGGACAGGCTGCATGCATGGGAAAGTGGGAAAGCAAATATGGTAAAATATGTGGGCAGCTTCCCTGGGGAAAATTCCTGCGTCATTCTGGTGACAGGCACTGGGGGCTTCGCCGTCCCCGTCTGCATTTGTGGGACTGGTGGCATCCCCCACATTTCTCCCCAAATATCCCTGAAACACATCCCTCGGGCTGGACCAACCGCACCACCCATCTGCACCATGGAGAAGGGATGGGAGCCCTGCAGACCCCGCTGCCTGAGGCAGGGTTGGGGCACCCCAGGGCCCCACTGGTTAATGAACCACTCGCTATCAGCCACAGCTCCTGTTTGCCTTCGCCAAGGTATCTTGGCACTTTCAATGCAAACTGAACTCAGTTTTCCCTTTATCGTGAGTGCAGATGCCACGCACAGCTCTGCCGATGTTAATGAGAAACCAATGCTGTCAGCCAGGGGATAAATGACCTTTTGATGGCAGTTCAGCAAAGCTTGGGTCCTATCAGAGGAAAAATGGCTTATGGTAACAAACCTCTGGTTTGTCACAACTCCACCTGCCAGAATGGGACAGATTCACCCCAGTTTTACCAATTCTGGGGCAGCGCAGTGCTTGGTGGCCCCCCTGCATCCCATTGCCCAGAACGAAGGCTGTAGAGGACATGGGACAACCTGGGGCTCCAGCAGTCGTGCTGCCTGGAACCTCTGGATTTGGCAAAAAACGTCTGGCACAGCAAAGGCTTTTTCCATCCCATAATACAACAGCTGCCAGCTCTACTCCAAGCACCGAGGGTTTCCATCCTGCACCCATCCCCATCACCCCGTGCTCATTCCCTTCCAGGAGACACAAGCTCTACAGGCAGGAGCTCAACCTTACGGCTGCAGCTGCGCTGCTCCCGCTGCGTCCCGAAGTCAGCTGGCTGCAGTTCCACCTGGGCATCAGCCGGGATGGGCTCTACCCCCGTTCCAGCCCTGCTGTCAGCAGGCTGCTGCAGGACATGCACGACTTCGCCACCGTCAGCGCTGGTGAGTGTTGTTGCAGTGTGGGACTCTGAGCCCTGCCCTGGCTTCTCCATGGGTTTTGTGCTGCACGATTGTCGTCGTGGTACCTGGAGATGGGAGAAGGGCCTTCCTGTGTCTTTAGTGTATAAATGGAGCTTATAATCAGAAGGGAGTCTGGCTTTTTAGATGGTCTGATATCAAGCTCTGCGCAGCCCCTTCCTCACGGCTCCTCCTGCTCTTGCAGACTACAGCCAGGATGAGAAAGCTCTGCTGGGAGCCTGTGACTGCAGCCAGAGTGAGTGCATCCTCCCAGGACTCTGTGCCATCTTCGCTTCACCCAAGTGGGGAGGGTGGCACTGGGTTCCCCTCAAGCTTCCAGCCCCACGCTCCGCTCAGGGATAAACGCCACAGCCCCACAAGGATGGGGTGGGGATGCCAAGACACCGATGTGCCAATGAGGGGAGGAAAAAGTCCCCAAGGGGACCTAACAAATGGACTTTGGGAGACTCGCATGGTGCAGAGGTGCCGATCTGTTGCACACAGGCACCTAACGTCCCCTTTCCCCCCCAGTTGTGAAGCCCAGCGGCGTGCACCTGAAGCTGGTCCTCAGGTTCCAGGACTTCGGCAAAGCCATGTTCAAGCCCATGAGGTAAGGCAAAGCCCCACTGCCCACGATGAGCAGCTGGGAGCACTGGAGCTCGCTGCAGTGAGGCTGCGGGCATCCTCGGGCAAGGAGGGGCACGTCACATTGCATCTCTTGTCCTTTGCTCAGCAAAGCCACTTTGAGTTATTAAAGCTACCTTTAATTATTACTGGCTGCTTGCTCTCTCCCCAGTAACACGCAAACATCAGTGTTCCCACACTGCTTATTGACATTGGAAGGCTCTTTCTCTGTAGATGCCAAAGAATGGAGGACCTCAGGGCTGCTGTCACCTCAGGGCCCACACATCCTCAGCACTGCTTTGTCTCTCCTTGGATCCCCTGGGTGCAGCTGCACGCACTCCCCAGGATTGACCCATGGATTTCTTCCAGGCAGAAACGTGAGGAGGAAACACCCGAGGATTTCTTCTACTTTGTGGACTTTCAGAGGCACAATGCTGAGATCGCAGCCTTCCACCTGGACAGGTACGAGAGGAGCTGTGCTCAGCTCTATGGAGTGCTGGCCATGGATCAGCAACTGCTCAGCAGCACCATGGTGGGGAAAATTCTCACTGGGAGCCCAGTACTCATTTTGCTTTGCTCCATGCAGGCTGGGCAGTGATGCACAGGTTGTAGCTTTGCTGCATGCACTGGGTCCATCCTGGGCATTGACCCAGCTGAGCTCTGGGTGCCTGGTTTGTTTTGTTTCAAGCTCACAGCTAATGAGCAATTAACCCAGGAGCCTTTTCCAGCAATCCCGGCTTCACCACCATTTGGGTGCAGCCATCAAGAAGGCAAACATTTTGCCAGCAGGAAGGGCACGGGCAGCATCTGCCACCCCATGCAGTCAGGTCCCACTGCGTGTCACTGAGCTGCTTTCCTCGGGCAGGATCCTGGATTTCCGACGGGTGCCCCCCACTGTTGGGAGGCTGATCAACATCACCAAGGAGATCCTGGAAGTCACCAGGAATGAAGTCCTGCAGAGCGTCTTCTTTGTGTCTCCAGGTAGGAAAAGATTACGGGCTGTGCAGGAACGGGACTGAGATCTGTTCACTTGTCCTGCTTCTTAACCTTTCCCCCAGCATAGGACTGAGTCTTTTGACCAAAACTCTGGTTCCCTCCACGGTTTGGCAGTTCACGTCCATTATTTGCCTAGATACATTGCATGGTGAGGCAGGGGTCAGTCCAAGCTCCACACCCCATAGTTCTTTCCCCAGTTCTCTCTGTTCTCCTCCAGCCAGCAATGTGTGCTTCTTTGCCAAGTGCCCGTACATGTGCAAGACAGAGTACGCAGTGTGTGGGAATCCTCACCTCCTGGAAGGGTCCCTGTCTGCCTTCCTTCCATCCCTCAACCTGGCGCCTCGGCTCTCCATCCCAAACCCATGGATCCGCTCCTACTCGTTTGATGGAAAAGAGGAGTAAGTGGGTAAATGCTGCTGCTTCATATATGTGCCTTACAGGGAGCGTGTGGGAAGGAGAATAAGTGAGATACAGACTGTGAGTGGACTGTGTGCCCCCTCCCCTGGTGTCCTGCAGGTGGGAGGTGAATCCGCTCTACTGTGACACTGTGAGGGAGATCTACCCCTACAGCAGCGGCAACCGGCTGCTTAACATCGTTGACATGGCCATATTTGACTTCCTGATAGGTACAATTAAAGCATTTCATGCTGATGGGAAAGAAAACACGGGATAGGTCTGAAAATTACTCAGGCACTTGCAAGGGAAACCGCTGCTCTGTTCCTCCTTTACCAGGGAACATGGACCGTCACCACTATGAGATGTTCACCAAGTTTGGAGATGATGGCTTCCTCCTACACCTGGACAACGCCAGGGGGTGAGGCTGGGAGGCCGAGGGGACGTGGGGAGGCCATGGGCAGGTGGCAATACTCCATGCTCTCTCCTTCCCCCAGGTTTGGGCGGCATTCTCACGATGAAATCTCCATCCTGGCCCCTCTCTCCCAGTGCTGTGTGTAAGTGTCAGCTTTGTTTTCCTTCCCAGACACATCAGTTCCTCCTGGCCCGGCAGCGCTGGCTGCTGGAATCCACCTGGGAACCCAAGCAAACAGCTCAGCATGGAAACCACAGTTATCTCCAAAGCAAGAGTTAAGCTTTTATGTCACTCAGAGCATCGAGCTGCTCTGCTGCATCACACAGCCATCATTCCTGCACTTCATACTTACTATCCCAAATGAACCCTTTCCCATGAGAACCCCTACGTAACCCAATGCCCAGGTGAGCTTCCCAAATCCCCACAAACAGCTCCCTTGCTCAGCAGCAGGCAAACATCTGATGCTTGAATGCCCACAAGGCATCAGTCTCACACACAAAAAGGCTGTCTCTGACTTTTCTGTTGGCCCAAACCCTTCCAGAAGCATGCCCTTGCATTTCCCAACACATCAACACAAAGTGCTGCCAGCCCCACTTGTCTGTGTGTGCTAATATGAAACCTCCATTCACCAGCTCTGATAGTTAATCAGGTTTCTTCTCACAGCATCAAGGAGAAGCTCGTCAATTTTACCATTTGAATCCTATCTTGGCCACCCTTTTATTAATCCACATAAATCAACAGCTGAAAGTTAAATTAAAGAGGAAGAAAAGCTGCTCCTCCCTGTGGTTTCTCTTTAGGAGATCCCTAACCTATTTCCTTGCTGTACCTGCTCCATGTAAGCCTTGGGGTGCTAATTGCACTCTCCCCACACATTCGTATTACCAGATCTAATTTTAAGAACTGCTGTTTGCACCAAGTGAGACTTTCCATTTATAATTGCAGCTCACAGTGACTCCTTCTGCCAAGCTCCTATTTTGTGCAGTTCACATGAACTCTCTGACCTAGCGGCACTATCTGCAGGTCACATCCTTCCTGCTCACCCAGATCCACCTCCCAGAAGCTGTGCTTAATTTAGGTAGGATGAGCTGCAGGTCACACCTTTAATGAGCCAGCTATGGGCAAGAACTGCGACTTGAAAACGACTTGTACTCACTACAGGGCCACCCAAAAGCCTCATTTCCTATAGCAGTCCTGGGAAGCATCCAGAAAGGCTTGGAATCCTCCGAGCTCGGCTTCCTGCAGCCTCCTAGTGTTCTGACCCACCTTTCACAGCCCCTGTTCCAGTCCTTGTCTCATTCAGTGAAGGTTGCTCCTCTCCTCTCCCATCACACCTTCCTCCACGTGGAAATTCTGGCTGAGTCAGCATGGTTCCACAAACACAGGCTGCCATCTTTCCAAAATTTAAAAGGCAGTGGGTGAGATCACTGGTCCATTTCAGTCACAGAGACTCTGAAATCAAAATACTTCTGCTGAGCATTAAACAAATCACGTTAGAATAGCTAGTGTCATTCCCCAAAGCAGGCCAAGATCGTAGCTTTTCATCCTCCCTTCTGTCAAAGGGAAATACTTCATCCTCAATACCTCTTCAGGCACAATGTTAGATCAGCTCTGGGAAATACTCTCTTTTTGTTCAATTTAGAGAAATTTTTCCTCATTCATCAGCAGCTAAGATGCACAGCTTCATTTTCTCTCTCCTTCTGCCCCATAAATGTCATTTCTGGTACCGTGGCACTGCCCTGCAATCATCTGGGGAACTAGGTGACATCTGAGTCGGAGGCAGAATGCTCACTGCTGAGGATTTCTAACATTCTTTTCTCTCTGAAGACAAAAATCTGCTGTATGAGCACTCTGGAGCCTGAAAAATAAGTAAGAACCAGAGGTTTCTGCAGAGATTCCCATTTTCTTCAGTAAGAGCTTTTTGTTCCAAATACTGTTATCTGGAACTGTATCTTCCCTCCCTCCCTCCTCCCTCTCTCAGCAGAGGCTCAGACAACTGTCCCTTACAGGGGTGCTGTGATGTTTGGCACTAGGATGCCTGCTTTCTTTCTCTTCCAGAATAAAGAGGACGACGCTGCTGCGCCTGCAGCTGCTGGCTGAGCCCGAGTACCAGCTGAGTGCTGTGATGAGAGAATCCCTCCTGCAGGACCCCCTGGCACCTGTCCTCACCGAGCCCCATCTCCTGGCCTTGGACCGGCGGTTACAGCTCATCCTGAAAGCCGTGAGGAAGTGCATAGACACACATGGAGAAGCCAAGGTGGTGGCCAATGACACCAGGCAGCCCGAGGCTCCCACATCCGACAGAGCAAAGCTGAGCACATAAACAGCCCTCAGCTCCTGCTCAGAAGCAGGGGAGACCCCTGCGAGACCAGGGACAAGCGTTAACAGTTGGTCATTTCTATCTACAAGTGCCCACGACACGGAGAGGGGAAACTTTGGAAGACCTGCAGGGATCACAGCGGGTTCCCAGGCTGAGCACTCAAGCAAAGCTGCAGCAGGTCTTTGCACCCCAAGCACCAGCTCTGTGGGAAAGCAGAGATCTGGTTTGCAGCTGAGCATGCCTTGTGGGTGACAGGAACACATACAGCCTGCAGCTTGCTCAGCCTTGCTATGATGGACACATGCTAGATCCAAGGATGAGGCTTGAATAAAGAGATGCCACGAATATTCTCCTCTTCCTAAGTCTGTGTTCTGTAATCAAGACCGCGTGTGAGAAAGGAGCAACCTTACTGTGACAAGGTGACACATTGGTTCATGTGGTCAGCCTGGAGCATCTCTGCACAGCACCCACCAGCAGACAGGACCCCTGGCCTGGTTCTCTGCAACAGAAAACAACCAGCCCAGTCCACTTCAATCTGTGCACATTGCCCAAAAGTCCACTGGCTTGCAGGGCAGTAAGATCACTTGTATTTTCACCTGCCTTGGGGGTGGAAGAACCAGGCTGGGTTATAACAGAAAAGCAGGAAAAATATATATATATATATAGATGTTTATAAATACATATATTTAGATATAACTACTAAAAGACATAGGACTGTATTTACAATCCCAGAAGTCACCCACTTCTGGTCAAAATATTTTGCTGAGGTGGGGGGCTCCATCTTGCATCATCATCTTGCTTTAAAGTCACTCAAGCTATCAGAATTCCCTGGAAAACAGAAAAGGCTCCTCCTCCTCCCCTTATCTCTGCGTATTTTGGAGAGAAGCAATAGGAACTGAAGACCAAAAAAGTGTAGAGCTATCAGAGATCTTTCAATTTGTAAGCTTCCCCTTGCCTCCCAAGGGCAAGGCTTAAGCGTGGTTTGATTACTGCAGCTCTTTAATAGCTTTTTGCTTCAACTGTTCAGGAATGATTACACTGAGCTTCTTGGCAGCCTGGGGAAAGTCGTTGAGAACTTTGTTGATCATTTATCATCCTTAAAGAAAAAAACCAAAACAATCAGTCTACTAGAAGTTCATTCTAAACTAACCTTTCAGTTAAACAAAAGCCATCAGCAGCGCTGCAGGCTGCTCAGCTTCACAGCAAGCTGCATCACCTGCCACACTGTCATTTTAGGTTGGAACTCTGCCCAGCCTAACAAGCACTGGGTGATGCTGGCCTGGACTGTGCAGGGAAGTCACAGAGCTGGTTTGGCCAGCACTGCTGTTTTTCACAGGGAACTGTAGTGGAGCTCAGTCCAACCCCAGAACAAGTGTTCACCCGGCTGCCTGTCTTCATTCTGTACAGCTACTGAAGAGATTGTAGGTGTAATTCTGTATGTCCCCACAGGTGCCATTCTATTCGTTTGAGGAAGTTGGGAATGTTTCTGCTTAACACAGAGAGCCCAATATTTTGAAGCCACAAAGGTCAGGAAAAGATCTAATGCACAGAACTGAAAAGCAGACAAAGAACCCAGCCCAGCAGGCTCCCTCAGCCTGTCTCCATTCAGCCACGTCCTCCCACTACCAGCTTTCACCTAAGCACATGTTAGGTAGCCTCAATCAAACAGAATTCTCAACAGCAGCGGGCTTACAGGCCTTTTCTTTTTTTCCCCATGTACTCTAGTGAGCAGATAACAGATTAAAACGGAAGGATTTGGCTCACTCTCTCAGCACTCACCGCCTGCAGCTGTTTCAGTATGGGACATTCTATTCCCAAAGTTGCATCTCCCTCTACTGGTGATTTTCTGTGCACGTTACACACACAGTCCCAGAGAGGAAGGGTCAGCTGTGCTGTCAGCAAGGACTGGAACTCAAACCTCCATTAAGTTCCTTCATTTACCACCAGTTTATTGGCAATTCATCCTCTGAAGGTGAAGGAAAACATAAACCATAGGGGTGGGAAAAAAAAAAGAGGCTGATTGCATTTAAGAATTTAAATCATTTTATTGCTTTACCTGCCATTAGGACAATCTATAACAAAAGGAATATAATATATTAGCACATACAGTAAATCAGACTTATATAGTCAGGTAACAATACAAAAATGGTCCTCTGGTTGACTATAGCTTTCTAGGGCAATAGACTTTATAAATTCGCTAAAGGTGGACTAGCAAAAATTACTTCTAAAGCCCCAAATGTTAGCTAAGGCAAAACTATGCCAATTGTGGTTTCAAACATATTTAAATTGCACACAAAGGTAAAGCTACAACTGTGATTAATATTTAACTCAGACTTAGCTGATTTATCTTAAAATCTTGTAGGTAAAACTACAAAAGGGAGTAAACAGCAAGCTAAAAAGATGCAGTAGTGAAACTCGATTAGAAAGCCTTATATAAAAAAATGTGCACTTCTGTGTGGAGCTCTAACTAGTTTACACAGTTTTTGGTGCTTTAAAGTAACATGAACACATGATGAAGGAAAAACCTGGATAGATCCAAAACTGAAGAGAACAGTTTTAGCAACAAAAAAAGAAAATTATAAAGTAAAAGTAGCATTTGCTTACTCCTTAAGGACTCTGGCAGAAGCAGTCTTCTCAATTTCTTGTGAAGACAGAACTCAAACCACAAGCGTTTAAATCCCACCACTGGGATTTCAGGTTTGGAAATAAGCTTTTGTGAAAGCCCAATGCCCTCAGAATTACTTTGCATCAATTGGCAGGCTCTTCTTGACACGCCTGGGAGAAAGCCTGTTGGATCTGAATCCATATCATCTCGGAAAGGAAATTAAACGAGGGCTCCATCTTGAGAAGCAGTTGCCCCATAAACGCAAAACCGCTTGCTGTCACTCCCAAATACAAACCTACACTACTGGATATAAATTACAGGGTAAAGGAAACCTTGAAACCTGCCTACCATTATTGAACCGTGGAATTCAGTACAAACCTGTGGGAAGTATTGGTGCACACAGAACGATGCAACACAGAGCTGGAAAATACTGAAATACGTTTAAGACTCCACGACATATTGAACTTGGGAGGGGGAAAAAAAAGAGTATGAAATGCATCGTGTCATTTGGGCAAGTATGGAAAGAGAATAAGCTTTTTGTATTTAAACTAGACTCCTAATGATCCTTTTGAAAAATTCTGAGTTGATTTAAAAACAAGCATACTTAAAATGAGTGTTGCAGGGAAGTTAAAACGTTAAAGCGAGGCACGTTTTCTGCCTGGCAGTCTCACTAAGCATAATGGCATCTCTATGGGCCAGCACCCGCAACTAATGCTGCCCAGCAATGCTTCAAAGTTTAAATTTCCCTGGTGTCAAAGGGACACGTGAACTGGTGACCATTAAAAAAATAAGTCAACTGGGGAATACAAAGCAAGCAAGGGAAATAAAAAGTTTGCTTCCAATTTCTGCACCAGTGTAGTACCTGTGCACGACTAGCAGCTGGGCGGCTGCACCATCCCTATGTCTGTGTACTGGAGCCCAAAGTCAGGCATTGTATGGAACATTTGGTTCTTGCCACTTTGAACAGGAAGTTCAGGGCAAATCTATCACTGAAGAAAGAAGAAGGAAAGGATCAGTTGTGGCAAATCAGCAAATGAAGTAACAATTGCAGCAGTTCACCTGAACCATTAACCTCGAAAGCTTTGATTTACGCTTGACAACAACATAAGCAACCTTAAACCAGCAAACACAGGAACTATTAAACTGCTGAATTCCAACTGTGCCTTTCTTAGCAGCTGATGCCTCACGATTGAACCCAGGATTACAGTACCCAGAAAATCATAAAGAAAACCCCAAGAAGCTCAGTAACATGGGCAATTCTCATTTGGAAAGAAATACAGCAGGTTAGGACTACAGCCTTAAAATCTGTCCAATGATTTAAGAAATACCTTGAAATTCCCCCCCCACACCCTGCTACCTCCTTATTCTGTGGCAATTGTCACGGTGCCTGGAGATCTCTCCTTCCGTAAAGCAAGGCTGTGTTTGCTGTATTTGCCCGAGTTGGACACAGTTGCACAGAGAGAAGCTGTAACAGCAAACATCTCCATAGAACTTTTTCCTATGTATTTAATGGGACAGAGAGCACAGAACTAATATGCTCTAAATTAAAAATAGTACTATGAAAAGCTTTTTTTTTTTTTTAAACTGACAGGAAGCTGCAAATGCCAGTGGCCATGTGGCTCTGCACAAGGGTAATAAAGCAGTCTGCGTTGGTGAAGCACGTTGCTGAAGGAGGAAGGCTTCAGACAGACAGCGATACAAAACTGTTGTACTGCTGGATGTTTCGCTTGAGAATATCTGAGCACGGACCCAGGACACGTTCAAATCGGGGTCGATCGAGCTTCACACACTTCAACAGGCCACGAGCAACAACTGTGGCAGCACGGGGACGGTTCATCAACAGAGCTATTTCACCTAGAGCAACGGGAGAACGGGAGCAGCGTTACAAACTGAGGGGTGAGGAGTCACTCGTCAGCCTGCTGTATTTCAAATGGCTGCAGGAATTGAACCAAAGTTAATTTGGGTCTCAACGTTTATCAGAATGAATGTTTATACAGTTACAGTACAAGCAACTGGGTGGCCAGGATAAAGAAGAACGACACCTTTGTGTGCTATTCTTTTTTTAATTATTCAGCAATCTCTCTTTAAAGGGTCACATCACAGTCAACTATGTAACTTTCCTTCAAGCAGCCATTTTTCTAATGTGTAAGACATTTCTAATGTGTAAGACGTGCTGCTGACCAATTCGGACCTCTGTGACGCTCAGGACAAGACCATGCTATTCAAGTAATAACCTCAGTGCACAAGACAGAAGCTTTTGACCAATACCTAGCCAGAATTAACAACCCTACCTTGCCACTGGAGGTAAGAATGAGTATCTCAAGTCTGGGATTCCCATTTCATAAGTTACACACAAGCACACAAAAAGCTTTGTTTCAAATGCATGTTACAACTGCTGAACAACATATTTTCAAATTAAGCTTTCTTCGAGCCATTCCTTCCTTCAGTGGTAGCAGCTATGCCTAACAATCCTAGCAATGAGCATGAAGTCACTGCATCAACTTCTGGGGTGGCTTGTTTTTAAGCAGTTGAACAGGTTATGCTCCTGTTCAGGACTAAGGAAAGAATGCAGGGATCCTCAGAGAATAAATCTGCTTGCATTATCAGAGGGGATGTTCAAAAGAAAGGAGAAAACTTCCTCGGTGCCAATTAAAACCTCAAACTCGCCAGCCTCCAAAACACAGGCTTGCAAAAAAGTAGGTTCTAAGGGAGACTTAAAGCCTCAGGGACACCTGAACACAACACCAGGATAACATTCAGTGCAGTAGTAGGAAATTCAAGGATATACATACCAAGGGAGAGATTGGAAGAGACCAGTGTTTGACATAGGTAGAACAAACATCTAGCACCAGGTACTGAGCTAAGCAAACCTCTGGCCAGATTGAACACTACCAGGGCACTGCTGAGCACAGCCCCCTCCAGGCCTTGAAACACAGTATTTGTTGATTACATCACCTACAAAGCTGAAACACCAGACAACCAGAACACTTTTGCAAGAGGACAGCTCAAAAAAAATAATGAGAGAACGTATCTTAAACCTGAAGGGAAAAAATATTAGCCTTTTTGTTTTCTGAAAGAAGGAAGTGTTTAAATATTAAATAGTTGGTTCTCAACAGATTTGAGGGGGTGGGAAAAGATTAATTCTCTTTTGAAGAAGCTTTGTTTGAGTGCTTCAAGGCATTGTTCCTCTGAACCTAAAATGAGACAGTCAGGAATATCCTGTTATGCACCGTTACATTATTCTCCAAGGATGCCCTGTGAGCATACACGTCCAGTCCTCACCTGTGATCAAACAGATCAGTGTGCATTAGGAACTTAGCTTTTTTATTTTTTTGCTAGCACATACAGGCTTTTTCAAGCCAAAGCATTTTTTCTATCATGTAACTTTTAGCTTAGTAAAAATACCTTCAACAGAAGGCAGAAGAGACCTTGATTTGCACCAAGTCCTGCGCCCAGTCTTAAGCTTCCCTATGCAAGATGCTGGCATGAAACAAGTCCAGCAATGCCAGCCAGATGGTTATGGGACTGCACAGGCTGTACAGAGAGCTGCTGGAGGAACTGGTCAGTTTGATCTTTACAGGGGAAGGCTTTAAGTGAGACTGTGGGATTTCCATCCCTGGACACAAATTGCTGCAGGGAGGTCACACCAAATCATCATCCTTCCAAATAGCAACACTCCACAGCTACCACTTCTCTGTAACAGGCATGCACACCTGAATGTCAGGTGACTGACACTGAGTGAACCACACGAATCAGACAAAACAGTGATTAAGCAAATCCACCCCATCACTGTCACCCACAGCAGTCATCACCACAGGTTAAAGCTGACAGTGGCATATGGCACCACTGCTGCCACTACAGAACTTACCAAAATAATCAGAAGGTGCCAGTCTGCCCACTTCAACAAATTCTTCATTTTCTGATCGACGCTGTAACACTGCAGCTGTGCCCTTTAATGAACCACAGCAATTAGACAATTGGAATTTCTGCTATCGCTTCAATTACTGAATTCCAGAATGAGCTGCTTTGCAGAAACAACTGTCATGATGTCAGTCTTTAAAAACCAATTCACAGTTCATGCATAGTTCATAGACTGCTCCATGAGAACAACTGGCCTTCCTTCTTTAAGCTTAAAAGATCGTGGGTGTTCACTTTCTGCAGCATTGATCTCTTCCCAATTTTCTTGCACCAATATTACAGTACAGTTTGCAACACCACCACTAGCAGGATATTATTAGCTATCTAGTAATATGTCTCTTTACTCTCCTGAACAGGATAAATGGTTTAAGCCAGAAACACTTTTTTTTTTTTTCCTGGAATTGGCATTTATAAAAATAGCAAAACTAAATATAAGCTTTTGCATGTCCAGCAAG